TCCCTGGATATGTGGAGCCTTTGGCCTTTGATGATTGAAGCATTGGCTGATTGGGCTATAGACTTCTTTCCAAGTATAGTTCTATTTACGCTTTCTGCTTATCTTAGTTCCTTTATTATTTCCATCTCTTAATGTTTTAGGAGTTGTTAACTAGAACTTTTCCTTTTATACTACTCATCAGCTTAATCAGTTTTCTCCTCATTTAGTTATTAACTGGAAATTGTACTTGGGAAAAGGATTGTAAATTATCCTGGGAAGAATAATGCATCTTATCCATGGTCAATAGCATGATAAGTTACTTAGTGATACTTTTTTGCTCTTTGAAAAACATTATGCCAGACATTACTAATCTGAAACTTGTGTTTTAAGCATGTGTGTCTGAGATCCACCTTTGCGAAATAAATTGCAAATATTTTTGTGCCTAACTTCTTGTAGAATTCATTGTGTTTGTTAACTACTTCTTAAAGCATATGTTGTTCATAGAAATCCTAGAGTTAGATGTTTGCACAGAACAAGCTGCATTGGTTTAAGTGTTAGTAACTGAAACAGTTTCTAAGACCACCATCCTTATTTTTGGGATCAGATTGCCACTTCAATGTGGTTGTCCATATTTGTTTATAATATAATGAGGAAAATTTATTTCTGATGGTTCTAGTAGGTCCACATAAATATGTTACATCGTAACAACAGAAACTGGAAGTTTCATACTTTTTTTCGTAATCCAGTTTCAATTTATTATTGTTTATTGTTGAAGTCATCTGTACTTTTTTGTTGTTTCTAAGTAGTAGCTGTTTACATGCAGATATTTTGGTTCCTTTGGACAACTATATATCCAGGGGAACTGCACATTTTCTTACTTGCAAGGAAGCAGACTACCAGCAAAGTCTTTGGAATATGATTTCATCTGTGAGTTGATTTGTAGTGATATAGTTGCTTGTAGATTGACAACTGTCAGGGCAAAATAAAATGAACTATATATTCTTTAGTTTCTGATCTTGCAATTTTCTAGCCTCCTTTATCTCAGCAACCCTTTGGTTTATAAAGTCTTATGTTATTTGCTTTCTTTGGCAGATTATGGCAGATAAAAATTTAGAGGACAATGATATTGAGCCAGCTCCAAAGCTGATAGAAGTAGTGTTTCAAAACTGTAGAGGACAGGTGGATCATTGGGCCGAGCCATATCTGAGAATCACGGTTGATCGATTGCGTCGAACAGAGAAATCACGCTTGAAATGTCTTCTTGTACAAGTGGTAAAGTGTCAGGACCTAGCTGCAGTTTTCTGCAATATGATGTCATGCTTTTATATGCTTCACATGTCTTATAATTATCAGAATTTGATGTTCCTCAATTATTTTACCGATTCAAGGTGACTTACGCATCAAATATCATATACAACGCAATTAGAAAGAGCTAGTTGAAGATTCATATATGGCCAATTTAAGTCAATTTGAGATCTTTTATCTGTTCAAATTTTCTTTGTTGGATTTGTGCTACAAGTTTGAAGTTAATGGTATATGCTATCTTGGAATGTTCTTGTTAGAATCAAGATTTGTTTCTTATATGTTAAAATATGGTGTGAAGTAGCAACAGCTTATACTGATTTAAATGTTAATTGACTCTTCAGGGCATAAACACTACTATCATTTTGCAAGTTGCTTTGGTCTTACCTTTAGAATTACTTTTCATTCCGGGAAACGGCTTTGTCCTGTGATTTTCTGACACAATGTTGGTCTTTCTTAACCCAGATTGCAAATGCGGTTTATTACAATGCAGCATTGACAATCAGCATATTGAATAAGCTTGGTGTTGCAACGGAAGTGTTCAACCTTTGGTTCCAGTTGTTGCAACAAGTTAGAAAGAGTGGTCTACGGGCTAATTTTAAGCGGTAGGTAGTTTGTATTTGTTTTAATCTCTTTCTGTCTCACTCCATACAAACCTGAAGTGTAATATTATGGTGCTCTGGGTGCTGCAGGGAACATGATAAGAAAGTGTGCTGCTTGGGCCTTGCATCGCTACTTGCACTTCCTGGTGAACAGTTAGCTGGGGAGGCTCTTGGGCGAGTGTTCAGGGCCACCCTTGATCTCCTAGTTGCATACAAGGATCAAGTTGCAGGTCACTCTCTCTTCTCCTTTTCTCCCTTTCTGTCTCTATCTGTGAGAATTGCAACCATTTCCCTGTTCATTTTGCTTAGCATGCTGTCTTTCGGGGGTTTTATCTTTCCTTCTTTTCCTCTAATACCTGGATTATTCATGTATTATTTATGTGTGAGCAGAAGCTGCGAAGGAGGAAGAGGCTGAAGATGATGAAGATATGGATGGTTTCCAGACTGATGATGACGACGACGATGTTGATGGTTCTGACAAGGAAATGGGAGTCGATGCAGAGGATGGGGATGAAGCTGATAGTATCAGGCTTCAAAAATTAGCTGCCCAGGTATGTGCATTAGGTTGATCCGTGAGGTGCATAATTTGGTACTTTGCTTGTGCTTCTATCTTTAATATCACGACTTCGCAAAAAAGGGAAAGCTCCCTCGTAGACTGGCAAATAAACTAGAGTATAGCAATTTTGTGGTTGCATTTTCTGTCTAGCATATGTGACAAAGTCCTGAGAACCAGCATATGCCCATGGTGGAATGTCTAGCTACTGTATAGACTGGATGAAGGCATCCTGATCTTATTCTTGTAAGTTGTTTGGATGCTTGTGCCCAGAAATTCATAAAACTGAAGTGTTAGAACCCAAGTGGATAATGCGAGTCTTTCATGGTATGCCTTTATACAAAAAAAGAAGAAGAAAAATGAATAGAATTGTTTAGTTGCCCTTTTTCACTCACAATAAAGGACTTCACAGATTTGGCCTTCTTGTTGAAAAATATGAGATAAGCAATTAAGTGTGAGCTTTACAAGAGTACTTGAGGGGTGCAATAGCGAAGGTATTTAGTCAATTGTTTGTTTGCTGGTTGGATACTCTTGGTGACATACACTTGCTATGCCCCCAAAAATTTCTCAATTGAGGAAATGTTTTAGCAATTTCTTTAGTGTGTTTTGATAAATTGCAGTTGTCTTCAGAACAAATATGTAGGTACTGTTGACTTTTTTGGTAATGCGGAGCCGGAACAGAGAACTTTGAAAATTAATAATAATGCTGTGACCTTTTAATGATTAGGACATATCTGTTGTAAGTTACCCTAGATATCCTTTCAGTAATGGATTCCTGGACTTTCCAATCTTTTATTTGACACCACCTGACTTTGTTTTTAATAGGCAAAGGCTTTCCGTGCAAATGATGATGATGATGATGACTCAGATGATGACTTCAGTGATGATGAAGAGTTACAGTCACCAATTGATGAAGTAGACCCTTTTGTTTTCTTTGTGGATACCGTCAAAGGTAAATGTTTATTCAGCCATCTAAGTTTGTTTATATGCATCTTCTATTTTTGTTGAGCTTCCATGGCATTGTCTTGAATGTGGACTTTTTTCTTGCCTTCCCTAATTTTTGAATCTAGGCTTGCAAGCATCAGATCCTATGAGGTTTCAGAACCTTACACAGACGCTGGATTTCCATCATCAAGCTCTTGCAAATGGTGTTGCTCAGCATGCTGAACAGAGGAGAGCAGAGATTGAAAAGGAGAAAATGGAGAAGGCATCTGCTACTGCTGCTGCATCATGAGTTAGTTTTGGATTGAATTTTTGGTTTGCGCGATGAGTTCATTGATAATTCCATTCATTTAGAAATGGTATAATGAAACCAAGAGTCGATTCTGGTCCATTCAAAGCATTCATTGGTTCATATGGTCATGAAGGTGATTGAGCTTCAAAAGGTTTTGAGGTTCGAGTGCGTGGAGCTTTGTGTGTACAAGTTCTCAATCGTAAGCAGAACGCGGGATTAGGGAACTCGGAGTTTGCTACTGTCACTTGTCAGGTTTTGAATTAGGTTAGGCTGGTGAGTCTGGCCATTCTTTGGCAGAAGATGGCCGTCTCAAACAGTTTGTGTTGTTTCCTTGTAGACCTTTCTTTTGCTATTTTTTATTCCCTTACCCACTTATTCCATCATTTCTTTTTGGGTCGTCATATGTTTGGTCACTCTATTGGTTGACCAGGACTCTGATCTTATCTCCTGGCAGTCACCAGGGAGGGTCCATTGCATACGTAGTAGTCTACGAGATGTCTTGCCATGCTATAATCAGATGGCTAAATATGTAGGATTGTATTGATGATTTTGGTGAAGTGGCCGTCCAAAAAATTTTCCCTGTCAGGTATAGTGTACCAATATTGCGGAATATTTGTTTTTGTTTGGGTTTTGGAGATTTTTGGTTTCAGAGGGGTTGTTGGCCTTGGGTGGTAGGTAACTTGGTTGCCGATTTGTAAGAAAAGATATCTTGATAATTATTATTCTTTATATAATGTGGATTAATGAAAGCAAATTATTCTTGGGATCTTTGTCAGTAACCCTACTCTTTCTTCAAAGCTTCCAACCCCTGTTTCTAATGTATTTGTGAATACAAATACATAAAGCGTTGAGGGAAAGGTGAACAAGGAATGTTCCATACAGAGATGAATGCCTATACCACCGACTAGTTGTTTGTTTTCTCTTCCCAATGCCTAAGACGATTTGTCAGCACCAAATTCATGTTCTTGTGTCCCTATTATCGTATTAGGTTTAAACAGGTATGACTGTATAGAATGGATCGACCTTTACGTATTGTTTGAAGCTTAGCGCCTTTTTGGTGAAAAAAGAGTGAAAGTATGATCCTACTTGGATCATCTGACTCAACAGCCAAAAAGTGTCCCAACTTCTGGGCCTTTACATCTCAACGGAGTGGAGCTTCAATGTCCACGTTAACCAGTTCCACACCAAGAGGCAGCATTGAATGTTGATGGGGTTCGGGGTTTAGATCGAATCAAGAATCACATTCCCCAACTACCACGCGATGTCACACTCACTCAACATTGTCAATGGCCCCTTGGCCCTTTACAAAAGCAAATTAACTGCAAGCAGAACCTTCTTGCTGCAAAGTGCAAACAGCCAAACACACCCAAAAGAACCATGGGCTCTGATCAGCACATAGAAATAGTAATGCTTCCTTTGATGGCTCATGGTCATCTTATTCCATTTCTAGCTCTTGCAAGACAAATCCACCACCGCACAGGCTTCAACATCGCCATTGCCAACACCCCTCTCAACATCCAATATCTCCGTTCCACTCTTCACCAAGATCCCACTGCCGGAATCATCTTGGCCGAGCTCCAGTTCAACAGTGCTGATCATGGCTTGCCACCTAACATAGAGAACACTGAGAACTTGCCTTTGGATCAAATTGGTAAATTCTTTGCCTCATCTGTATCACTCAAAGCCCCATTCCATCACTTGCTATTGGATATCATTGAGAAACAGGGCAAGCCACCTCTTTGTATAATATCAGATACGTTCTTCGGATGGACTGTGGATGTTGCAAAGAGCACAGGCACCATAAACATTACCTTTACTACAGGTGGTGCTTACGGTACAATGGCTTATATTTCCTTGTGGTCGAATCTTCCACATCGTCAGACAGATTCTGAAGAATTCAGTTTGCCAGGATTCCCTGAAAGGTGTCGATTTCATGTTTCTCAACTGCATAAATTTTTAAGAAACGCTGATGGTACTGATCAATGGTCCAGGTTTATGCAGTCTCAGATTTCAGGTTCTTTGCAGTCTTTTGGGTGGTTGTGTAATACGGTTGAAGAGATTGAGCCTCTTGGATTGGAGTTGCTGAGAAATTATATCAAGTATCCTGTTTGGACTATCGGGCCTCTTCTACCTAAACCCTTGTTAAATAAGTCATCATCATCCTCAGCAAATCGTAATGGTTTATACAGACAACATGCAGGAAAAGAGCCCGGAATATCTCCTGAAAAATGCATCCAGTTCCTTGATCTGCATGATCCTGATTCGGTTCTATACATTTCTTTTGGTTCTCAAAATACTATTAGTCCGTCACAGATGATGGAATTAGCCATTGGTTTGGAAGAGAGTGGGAATCCATTCATTTGGGTTATACGGCCACCTATTGGTTTCGACTTAAGTACTGAGTTTAGAGCAGAATGGTTACCAGAAGGGTTTGAAGATCGAATGAGTAGCAGTAAACAAGGCTTGCTGGTGAAAAACTGGGCACCGCAATTGGAGATATTGTCACACAAATCTACAGGAGCGTTCGTAAGCCACTGTGGGTGGAATTCAACATTGGAGAGCTTAAGCCAAGGCGTGAAAATGATAGGGTGGCCAATGGCAGCAGAGCAGGCATACAATTCCAAAATGCTGGTGGAGGAAATGGGTGTTTCTGTGGAGCTGACAAGAGGAGTGCAGAGTAGTATTTCAGGGGAAGAGGTTAAAAGGTTGATACAACTGGTAATGGACAAGGAATGGAAAGGAGGGGATATGAAGAAGAGAGCTGAAGAAATTGCAGAACGTATGAGGGCAGCTGTGAGAGAGGAAGGAAAGGAAAAGGGGTCTTCCATTAAAGCATTAGATGATTTTGTTTCAGCCATTCTATCAAGCTCGCTGTTGCTTCAGCCTTCAGCGTGCAATAACAAAGGTCTCTAGTTTTGTACAGTAGATCAGTATCGTATTAACTATTTTTGTAGTTTTCCCTTTGTTCCTAATAAATGGTATTAATTAAATTAATCGATTCTTTATACCCAGTTTAGCATTGAAAAAAAAAGAGAACATTTCACATCCTATTATGGTACACAGAATTATATATAGCTTGTATATTAAATTATTAATTGAAGTTAATTTTTCTTTTCTTTTTTTTTTCTGTTGTGATGTAATAAATAAATGGTCTTGTGGATTATGGACAAATTTTACTAGGAGTTTCAGATATTGCAAAGAACATATAACCAATATGATTAATAAGGAAAATATGATGAAAGAAAATTATTAAAATACAATAATATAAATTCCGAAATTTATTGTCACAGTTTGCAAATCTGTGACTAATTAGCTGTCGTCTTGGCAGCCAAGCATTTAAGACAGTTAGAATACTTCTTGTTGATTACTTACTCGTCAAAGAGGCATAGTTTTAAAATTTTACTTTTCTTATACTCTAAGAAAATCTAAAAAACTTACACGTTAAGTTTAAATCAAATAAGCTATTATAAATAACATCCTTAAAAATCATCCTAAAACAACCAAATCAAGTATGTCAAATAAAACAATTTACTTTATACTTAGATCTTAAGTATTTTATTTTTCTTCTATTAGAACAATAATACTTATTTATTCTCTTTCAATATCTTTTTACATATTTGCTTACTTTAAGTTTTCACTTCCATTGTCAATAAATCTTGTTTGAGCTTACTTAATCTTACAAACACGAAATTACAGCATCGCACAAAACTTAACTAATGTTCCAAGCCCGCGACATTTACATTCAAAGAGTAAATCGAAACAAGAAAATTCAAGTGTCGTAGCTCATTCAACTCTTCTTAGACACCTCTGCATGTAGGTTGATAAGAAGTTCTCACAATTAATAAAAATGATAAATTTCAGATCTGCTAGTGCTTCTCAACCAGCATCAATATTTGATTAATTGAAATAATGGAACTCAAAATAGCTAAATAATAGTCTTCTCTTCTCACAACTCTGTACAACATGCCATTCCATTGGCATCAGTTAATATATGAAGAATAAGATCAACACAATTACCTTGAAAGGTTGAAAGTTGTATCTGCCTGCCTACAATTTTTGCACAAGCAAAAAATGACATATCTGTATAACATTCCAGATTATTACAACATTAGCAGCAATAGGGGGTGTCAGGCTTCGAGCTGTGATATCACTAGATAGGTACAATTGAAGAGACAGGAATATAGGTTTTAATGGCAAGTTGCCTCCAAAAACTCGAACCCTGCCTTTTCTTAAACCCTGTACTCATAGATAACACCAAACCCTCTCTTTACACCTTTAGCTTATAACGATCATTACCATTTTCATAAGAACTGCCTGCCTCAAGCTTCTCCAGACGGATTTGTCATGGAAGATGACTCGGGGCTGTAATTCCATAGTCCTTTCAGCTCTCCTCTCACCAAACCTAATATGACAGCAACTCCTGAAGGAAAACAAAAACCAGAAATTGAGGAAGGTAAGCAGACAAACAGAATTAAAACGAGAAAGCATGTGTGACCCTTTCTGACAAGCCAGCCAGAAGTAGCCTGGACTAACGGAATTTTTAACTGTGTTACCTAGTGTACAAGGAACGAGATAGAGGAGTGCAGGTTGACCGTGCCCATCCATTAAGTATAACCCTAGGTATGTAAAGAAGAGGCCTGCAATATGTGAAATTGAAACATATAAGTATCACCATAGCTTCACAATAGTTATTTTGTTGTTATCCAACTCTTTTTCATAATTTTTCAACCGACTAAATACAACAATACGCCTTTGATATTCATTCATTTTCCCAAATCTAACATCAAGGTTATTCCGTACTTTCAACTAAACAAAATGTACTATTCTCAGCAACCTACCTGATGTGCAAAAGGATAGAACTTGTTTTCCAAGATTAACAACTGCGTTTCAGAAACTAGAACCTAATGGCAATAGTACATGTACATGTGTGTGTTAACCAAATAGCTTCTTTTCCCTTTAAGAGGAAATCTCAGGAGCATATATCTCTATGTATTACAGTAAAAATCAACCTGAAACAATAAAGCTGGTAATTCCACAGGCCATTCATATACAAATTTTAATTTGTGTCATTTTGAAACAAATAAAAGGTAAAACTGATGCTTTTGATATTTAAATGCCCATGAATCACAAATTTCTCTTTGAAGTTGAAGTAATAACCAGATATGATGACTTTCATTACATATAAGTACATAACTAAGCAGATACAGGTCTCAACAGTTGCATTTGCACTAGAAAAAATTTGCTACAATTTGAAACCACAGAACATGTAAGCCAGTTAAAGCATTCATTGAAATCATTACTGAGTTAAATAAACATCTGTAAGGAAGTAAGGTAAGGAAGTTGGGCAAGGAACAGAACATCAATCAACGAAACTCAGTTCAAACTTATGAGTAAGCCTGATGAAACTGTTGAATTTCACAGAGAATATATTACTCTGACCTAAGGTGGGAAAGAAATCTTAGAGACCTGATAAAGAAAGAAAGAAAGAAAAACAACAGCTAATCAAACTATAATGCATACACACTCACCAAACCCATAGCCGATTATCAACCACACAAAATATCCATTGGCCAGATGCTTCTTGTTTTCCTTATCATATCTGAGACAAACAACCAAACAGGTAAATTAATCATGAACCCATCTATAACACAAAGATGAAAGCCCTTCAAAAAAAGGGCAAAAGGAAATCTCAAGACCTGAATCAATCCCAAACTTGTTGGATCTACAATATGAGTCCTTTCCAAGTTCCTCGTGCAAAAATAAGAATTCAGACAATATCTACTTCTTTCACTCTGCTTGCATAAACATTTTTTACACTCACACATACATACAAAATGTTTCAATATTAAAAGTGGTCCAGTAAATATACTGTGTTTAGAATTAAGAGTTTATTTATGACATAGTCCTTTGTCAAGCTCTAGTCAAGCAAGACCATAATTGTTTCAGAGAATTCTAGAGGTGGCAAAAATTAACAAATCCAAAAAGATACAACAAAATCTTGCCTATTCTGACCCACCATAACCTGATTTAACTCTAAAAGTCAACAAACAATCTGAACAGGAATCCAAAAACAACCTACACTCAACCTGTCTGTTTGCTTAACATGGTAGAGGAAACATAGCTCGACCTGCTTGAAACTTGACTGCCAATATAAATTGACTCAAAAAATCAGTGATTCAAACTTAACGTAACCCAACCCAACTGATGCAATTGAAACTTGTAAGTTCCACAGGTTTTAGAATAAAATAATGAGCCACCTGCAACCCTTTAGCTTTATGTCTCCTTATTGGATTAATCCATGCCATTTGAAACAGAAAATAGAAGTTAATACAAGGTATAATTGACCTTCATTTTCAATTTTCCAAGTGCAAAGAAAACAACTAAGTTAATGCCTTCTAACACCTACAAAAATTTCAAACTTGCTCCCAAAGTTAACTAGCTAATCCAAATAAAGCAAAATTGCACAATGGAATAAGCATGGCTTCTAAGACTGATTAACATTGCAATTAATACCTAATGTGATTTTACAGGATAAAATAATCAATCCATGGTTACAACAATTATCACTGACTGCTTTAGAGATTATTCTGTTGATAAAGGACTTTCAAACAATGAATTTAACAAGATTCCTGCCCAATAGAGCAAAGTTCAGCTAGAAATCGGGTAAAACAAAGGTCCTGGTGCTGTGATCTTTCAGTTTCTAAAATTACAAGTACATCATTATCCTAGTTATAAAAAACCCAATTTTCGTATGCTATGCTGAAGGCAAATATAAGACATTTGGTGCAAAACATTTGACCCCACAAGGGCAATTTTAGCTCCATCCAACTATCAGGGGATTATAACTGAAGTTATTACCATTGAAGCCTTTTGGAAATTGGTCTTATTTCCAATATCTAGCTTAAAAGTAACATCCACCAACTTTTCAAGCAGGTTTTCATTAGCTTGAAAGCAAATTGTAGCATAAAAGGGGACTCGCATATAACCAAACCAAGCAAAAAGGTTAATGACTTGCTAAATGACCATTACATGATCCCATAAAGTACATATGATCCAACAAAGTACATAGGGGAACACTATGACTAAGACATTAAACATAGACTACAATGGTGTCTGACAAGGGTTTTCTGCTTTCTGTCTGTTTTTTATCCCTTCCATTTTTTGGGTCAAATTTACCCTACCATTTCAGAGAGGGCATTACCACAAACTAAAAAATTTAGCCTTTTCATATCCTGAACTACAAAAAGAATAATAACAAAGCAAATTACTGAAAAATATGCATCTTGGTATCAGATAATAGTGGTCAACAGGATACAAGAAAAGTAGTACCTGAAAGCAAATGCAACAAGCAAACCAGGAAAGAGAATGTCCCCAAATCCAATCATATCATAACCACCCCATGGATCAAAAACTCTAGGAACTCTCAAGAGCATGGGAATTGATTCTCCACCACTATTGTCACCTCGAGCAACCTATTAATTGGATCAAAATGTTAGAGACCAAAGCTCATCCTTGGAACGTCACCTTATGTTTAAGTTCTTAAGTTGACTGGTTCTTAATGTTATTAAAAATTAAAAACGAAAAACAAAAACGAAAGAGGGCCTAGCTGACTTTAGCTCATTGAATCAGGAACTTGCCCTGTGCCGAGACCACTCTATTTAAGTGGCAACGTTTTGGCAAGGAGCAGGATTTTACATTTTTCCTACAAGTATACATTTTTGTCAAGTCCTAACATATTCAAATATATTTGAAATAAGCAACTCAAGCATTTAGCCCAGCATTTAGTGCATAACCCATGCTCAAAAAGCAGGTTCGGATCCCCTCTTTCCCAAATCACAAAATATATGAAGAAATGAAAAAATTATGCAGCTGGATTCACCTGCCATCTATCCAGTTGACTTAGGAACTAACCCTCGAACACATTGTCGTCAAGGCTGGTTAAAAACACTATTGATTCTTTTATGTGGTATCGAAGCCTCCTTGACCAAGCAGTTAGAGTTTAAATTCAAATTGAGCTTCTTCTAATAAACAAATCTCAGCACGAGTAAGCGATGGGTGAGCATGGCTTATACTTCATAGGGTTGTCCATAAGTATGTTATCATACCATGAGAAGCATATGA